GCTTAGCGCTGGAGGACAGGGTTGCCCCACTGCAGTCCACCTGAGGGGTGTCTGCCTCTCCTTTTCCCTCCAGGGCAGCCTCCAGGGCACGCAGTCATTGGGCGATTCACCTTCGGGACCTGGTGGATGGAAGGATTCAGGGGAGACTCCTGGCTACCTAGTTTTGAGAAGCTGGGCCTCCACAGCAGGACCCCCGACAGGCAGGCATCTTGGTTGGGTATCCACTCTGACCACCCACGGGGCAGTGTGGCCAAAGGGAATTATCCAGATGACTGGTACCAGCAGGAAGGGAGAGCCCTACACGATAGGAGTATTGTGACTTTCAGGGAGCACCGCTGCAGGGTCAAGCCCCGGCAATGGCCAGGGCCTTGGCCAGACAGCTGACCTCCATAGGGCCGGGTGGAGGAGGGAGAAATAGGCAGCCTTCATGGCATTGCTGTGCCAGAATCCCTGCCCAACTCACAGCCTCAGTTTCCCCTTCCAGCCAATTGCCAGGTGGGATCAAAAAACCATGAAGGATGGACAGAAACACCAGCAGACAGGGAGAGAGAGAGAGAGAGAGCAGCCCTCCGGCCCCTCCCGCCTTGCTCCTGATGCTTACCCTGCCAGCACCCCACTCCTTCAGCCTCACCCCAGCCCGGCTGCCTTCTAAATGTTCTCAGAGCCGAGGCTCTGGGAAGCTTTCTCCCTGAGCAGCCAGACAGGGGGGGAGGGGGCGGCCATGAACAGGAATCAGCAAGCATCGCCCTCCAGCAGCGGAGGCCCTGGTGCTCAGAATTGCAGGGTGGTAGGGAATCTCCAGCTAGAAGGAGGGGGACAATTCCTGGGGCACCCATCAGTCCTTCACTGTGGCTTTGGATGTGGCAGGAAAGAGTGAGCCCTGGGTTCTGCCTGCTCTCTCGGCCGGGGCCTGGAGTAGTCAGGGATGGAGTGGGTAGCGCAGGGCCACCACCTGGGGGAAATGGGGCAGGCCCCAGTTTGCCATGGAGATTCCAGCAGCTTCGGTCCATGCCAAGTATGAGCTGAGCTGGGAATCTTTGCCAGATTGCCCACTCCACATTTGTCCTCCACCCGAGGATAGGGCCCTTAAACCTGGACAGGACACCCTCCAAGACTGTACACCACCTTAGTGGCCCTTCCTGATGCCCTGGGTATGGATCCCACCTTCAGAGGTCCCAGGTGCTCAGCTCTGGGAAGGGAGCTGATCACCATCCTCTCAGGCCAGCACTGGTGAGTGAGTATTCAGAGGACTGAGAGGCCAGTGCGGGTGGGTCACTCCAGTAGTGCCACCGCCACGGTGGGCCCTAGGAGCCTGGGAGGGATGTCTGTATTGTGCTGACTACCCTGCTGGCCTCATTCAAATCAGAGAAGGCTGAGCATTTACAAGTTACAGACCCCAGTCCTCAACATAGGTGTGTGATGGGGAAACTGAGGCCTGAAGAAGAGAAGGGGCTTGCCCAAGGTCATTGGGGGAGTACGACTGGAGCCAGGCAAAAGCCATGTATCCTTGGGTTCCAATCCTCTTGGACCCAACTGGACTCAGGGGCTTTGCCACCGGAAGCCCCCAGCAGCTCACGGCGGCTAGAATTGGGACTCACTTAAGGAGCCAGTGAGGCTGGTGGGTGGAACCCGCAAGGGGGGAGGGCACATGTGGTGGAGACAGATCGAAGCCATTCATCTTCTGCCAGCAGCGGAGCCAACGCGTCCGAGGTGCGCCCGCGATCGATGCGCTGGAGCTCGGGGCTCAGAGGGCCAGGGGCACCCCAGCCGGTCGGCGCGCCCTCTAGGGCTAAGGGGGCTGCATGTTAAGGGCTGCTTCTCTCTGGTTTGTGCCGCCCTTGGTGCGACCCCCAAGACACCAGAACCTCGTGGATAATTATGGGGTAGGGCCAGCTTCCCTGAGCCCAGTTGGCCTAACCCAGTTTTGCATCCACTTTCTCTATCACGATGCTGGGCTCCCAGCACGAGGAAACAGCGCTCCGCCCTTGCCCTTGCCCTTGCCCGCGCTGGGAAGCAGCCCTTCCTCCCCGCTCCGAGCCCTGAGCAGGGAGACCCAGAAGCCGCTCTCCAGCTCAACTTTTAACTAATTCAGTTATAAGACACTGCACTTCTCCGAATCCGCCTCGCATTTGAGCCGCGTAGACCCTGCCTCTGCCTCTCTGTGACGCCGGCGACCAGGCCAGTCCAGGCGACCGGGTTTGCCGCCTCCAGGGCTGGCAGGGCAGAGGTTCTAGACCCCTCACCCACGGGGCCCTCACCCTTCCCGCGTCCCTGTGGCCCCGCGCCAAGTGGCTCCCCCGGGTCTTTCAGGCCGCCTTGCGGGCTCTGGTGCGCCGCTAAGGAGACCCGCCTTGCACACCTCGGAGTCACCGCAGCGCTCAGAGGCGCCCTGCAGTCACCAAGCGACCTCGGGACCGCGCACAGCATCGGCCAGAAAGAGTTGAATAAAACGGTTGTGTCGCGATGATAACACCTCAAGCATGGGTTTTAATTATCCCGTTCTAAAGGGCTGAGGAGGACGTCCTCGTGGCCCGAGAGCCCCCACGACCTTGGTAGTCCTAAACAGCACCAGCACAGACACGGGTGCTGCGGGAGGTGCCTGTCGGCCTGGCGCGTGGGGCACGAGGGCGAGAGGCACCGAGACGGGATCGGCCACTGCGCGCCTGCCCGCGATGGGCTTGGAGGCCCCGCAGTGCAGCCGCCTGTGCCCAAGTCCTTTCGAGGACTGGCACTGATGTGTGTGCTGAGGCCAGCACAAAAGTGACAGAAGCCCAGAGGACGAGGGTCCCAGGAGGAGCCTGAGCTGGGGGCACCCAGGCCTAGAGAAGGCACATTAGGGAGGGGAGCGGGAGAGAGGAAGACAAGTCTGCCCTTTGCCCAAGTGGCAGCCTCTGTGGCCAGGCCAGGGACTCTTGGGCCACCCCACTACCCACTGTGGCCAATGACCAGGAGTGAAGGCCTTTGAAAATGAGTAACCAACTCATGTTATTGAAGCATACCATAAGCCCCTCCCAGACAAAGCCTAGTGAAAACTAGCTTCATTAGCTGAGAAAAGTCGTTTGGGGTAACCCCCAGGCAGGGAGAGAGCCCAGCCCCAAGGCCTGGAAGGACTGCAGGGAGGCCAAGGTGGCAGCCGCAAACAGACAGAGGTGGGAATGCTAGCTAAAATGCCCACCCCTCTGTGCCATGGGGACTAGAAGCCAGCATTTGGTATTTGTGGACCGTGAAGCCCAGAGGGGCAGGTACTCTGTAGGGGACACGAGATGCTGAGGGAGCCTTGCCAGAGCTTGCCTAGGCCTGGGCCTTAAAGCTCCAAGAACTGCGTCAATGTCCTAGGCTGGGGGAAATGATTCTGGGTCAGGGAGCTGGATGGCAGGGGTACACAGACAGATGGGCCTCCCAGACCCCCGCGGCACCTTCTCCTAGGCCGTCTGCCGCCACCTCGAGTGCCCCAAGTAGAGTGTAACCCAGCTGCTGTGCATCTCAGGTATCTCAGTGGGGCAGTGGCTGTTCCCAGTGAAGGACAGGAGCGAAATGGGTTTTCTAGAGGGCTCAATTCTGCCACAGAAGTGACCCTTTCAAACCCAAAAGATGTCTTCCCCTTAAGCTCACAACCAAGTAACATCTCCATCCCCCACACTGGCCAGGGCACCGTCTTTATCCACAAACAGGCTGGCTCAGGGATCATGGAGGTGGGGTGGCCCCAGTGATCCAGCCCACTGGAACAAGCTTTCATTGAGGGCCCATAATCGCAGCTCTGAGCTGGGTGCTGGGTGCTTTGCTCATGGGATGAGTCCCCCAGCTTGCCAGACTGCAGACCACACCAAGAGGGAGGCCAGAGGCAGGAGCACGAGGCTCCTCACCTACTCTTGCAGGCAGTGCCAGCATTTTATTTTGGCCCAAAGTAAAACCCCAGGTGCAGGAATGGGCAGCAGACACAGGGAGCCACATAGTCAGCAGCCCCTTGTGACAAACTCCAATGGTCAGTGGGTTCTGACTTCACTTGCCTTGTGGCTTCTCGTTTCAGAGACCCCAGTACTTCAGGTCACCTCTTTCTCCCTTTTCTTCCCTCTGCAATCCCTGAGACTTCCACGAAGGTCCAGTTGGGCCCCCCAGTCAGGTGGAAGAGGGGGTGTCAGAGCACAGGCTCCACAACCTCAGACTCCTGCCTGCTTTGTCCACCTGCACCAGGCCGAGCCCTGGGCCCCAAGTGGCCCTGGTCAGCACTGGAAAATGCTCACAGGAGGGAGGGTGTCCACTGCAGCTTGCTACCAGAGGAGGGGACCCTGCCCCAGTGAATACAAGGCAGTGAAACCGTCCAGAAAACGTCCCTTTTTATTCCATACGCAAATAAGTAGATTCATTTAAAAAAAAGAAAAAAGAAAGAAAAGAAAAAACAGAGGCCGCAGCCCAGGAGAGAAGCCCCAAGATGCAATCTGACAGGTCCGGGTTCTTCCTCCACCAGGGCCCACCGGAGGGGGCTAATCACAGCCCACCCACCGGCCTGCCATCCAGGTCCCTTGCTAGTCCCATGAAAGGGACACTTTGTGTTGGAGGGGCAGTTGGAGGGTGGCGGTGTAGTCACCTCGCAGCAGCGCCTTGGACAGCTTGTTTGTCGTTTTCGTTTGCTTCTGGCTGGGCTTGGCCCAAGGGCTCAGGCTCCCCGAAGGGGACAGCCAAATTGGCTCCTCGCTGAGGCCTGCGAGCCTGGCCCCGTGGGCCTATAGACTGCACGCGCCGATGTCTCTGGGGTACCCCCTTTCCGTGCCGGGATCCAGCCTCGCAACTGGTTGAGGAGCCACAGTCCCAGGCGTCCCAATACATTCTGGAGGAGCTACCGACTGTGGCTGGGGCCCGCCAGGGAGGCGGCTGCGCTCCCAATATGCGGAGGAGACCTGAGGAGCCACCTGGCCCTTCTGTAACGCACTCCCTGCACCTCCACACCCACAGCCACAGAGGTCCCCTGCGGCCACGGGGAGTGGGCCCAGCGGACCAGGGGCTCACACCAGGCCAGGCATCTGCGCCCGCAGAAAGGGCACGGAGGCGGCGGCCGGGAAGGCGGCCAGCGGATAGGCGAGGGCCCCGGAGAAGCCGAGCAGCGGCGGGGGCGGCGCGGGCGCGGCAGGCGCCAGCGGGAAGGGCAGGGCGGCCGGGGGCCCGGCGGCGGCTGCGGCTGGGGGG